CTTTTATGAGTTGGGTATTTAATAATAAATATTACATTCATTCATTTTACTTTATGCATATCTATCTGTTTTCATACTTTATGAATAAGTTCTTTATATGTAATTTATTAATTTGTAAGCTTCTTTAAGCAAAGTTTTTTTTGTTTTCTAGTATTAAAATGATAAATATTTTAAAAAAATCATATAATTTGATTGGTTAATTATCATAGGCAATTATGGGTAAATTGACAAAAATTAACCAATCATATAAATGTCTTTCTATAGCACCTACTCCAAACTTTTATTAATATTTAAATAAATTGATATATAGAGAGATGCCAGTAAAAACCAAGCAAATTGTTTCTAAGTAAATTTTTTTAAACTTTTAAAATAAAATATCTCAACAATCATCAAACCAAACTTGATAAATTTTTTTTTTATTTTAATTTTATATAGTTATAAAATTAAAATAAAAAAAATTTATTAAGTTTGGTTTAATATTTGTTGAGATATTTTGTTTTAAAATTTTAAAAAAACTTATTAAAAACAATTTGCTTAGTTTTTACTAGCAGCCCTCTATATGATGGTGCTATAAACACATATATATTATATACATCAGAAAGTTTAAAAAGTGTTTGAAAAGTATTAACTAATACTAGGTGTTATTTAACACTAACAGGAGTAGGAAAATGAACCCTATATAGACTAACAGCATTAATAAACAACTTAAAATCACATTAAGCAATATATTTTATTAATTAATGCTGCTTAAAAATGTGAATTATTATGTTAAACAACTTATTTTATTAGCCAATGCCATTTTAAAATACGTATTATTATATTAAGCACAATATTATTTATTATAATATGTATTTTTTAATACATTAAGCAATACATAGCAAAATCTAGAACTAATACTAAATACATGCATATTTCAAATCAAATTACTTAAATTGTTTTTGCAATTAATAACAAATATAAGTGTATAAAATACTTGGGGCTTATTCCTCATAATTGCTATCACCATCATAATCACTTTTATTATCGTTATTAGCACTATTTAAAGATAATTCATCATAATTTTCTTGAATTATATGTAACGAATCTGCTTCTGACATCACAGAAGAACTTACAGGACCTTTTTGCAAAACAGTATCCTAAAAAAAACAAATAAAATAAAATAAAATATGTTTAAAAAAAATTGGTAAGATTATTAATAAACAATATACTTATATTTTCATTATTTTTTTCTTTCTCTTTGTTTGGCAGCTTTTGAATCCACATATCAATATAATCTGCATTAATTTTGGGAGAAAAACAATCCTTATCAAATATAGTTCAAGTACAGCTTATATCCAAACTGCATTAGCTTGTATATGTTCATCATTGAAAACAAAAACATACTTTATAATTAAAGAGAAAAATGTCTCAAAATTTGGATCTTCTGGATCACTAGGGCTGTATAAGTCATTGTACCTGTATATCTTTTTTGAATTTTTTTTCTATTCTAACATCTGTGCTTTTGAGTCTTTTTCACTAAACAGTTTTATTCGATTAATACCAAAAGTGCTCTATAAACCTTCTTTCACATGACGAATATAATAACCTTTTTTAAGCTAAATCACTGCAAGCATCTGTATAAATTAATAATAATTATATATGTGTATTACAAGAGTAAACTTGCAATTCTAATATAGAATTGCAAGTTTCTCTTGCAACACTTATATAAGTAAAATTGAACGAAAATAGTAAATACAGTACTTCGGAATAAAGTTTTTTATTCCAAAATTTGTTAAATGAGACTTTCTTGTCATTTAATTTTTGTAGTTTTTCTAAACATTTATCATTGTTTTCTAACAATCTCTTAAGCCGCTCCTTTGTTTGTTTATCACTAATTTGCTCATGGTTATAAAATAAATCATTTGCCAGTTTTCTAGCCACATTCTATTATAATATGATATATAATATATATATATAGTAATATGCATAATGATATTAATAAATAATAAACTATTAGTATAAATAAATATGTATATTATAAATAAATATGTATACATACTTGAAAACAAGCATCCACCATATTTTTTAAAGGCTTTTTTCCTTTGCCTTTTTTTGTTTCTAATTCATTAGTTTTAGCAAATTTTTTTGAAATCTCTCCAAGCTGTGTTTGTTACTTCTTGATTAAATATTCCAGCTTTGCACAGTGCCTGAAAAGCTGATTAAGCTTTAATGAGTTATCTTGTATGATACTTAGAACCTTGGTTATAATATGCAGATTGATAGCACCTTGAGCTATTAAATAAAAATATAAAATAATAGATTAAAAAAAATAAAATAAAATAAAATAAAAAAAACACTATTTTACAAACTTGAAGTTTTAAAAATAGCAGTCTTTTTAGTAATAGTAGTAGTTAACAGTGTAGGTTTAATAATAATTTGCAGCTAAGTATGTAAAAAGTTGTATAAAATTATATTAGATAATTTAATAAGTATAAAATATTAATAAAAAATAATAATAAAATAACTTACTTCCTTTGTAATAATAACTTGTGGCTAAGTTAGATAAAGTTATATAAAATCGTATTAGATAATTTAATAAGTGTTAGACAATAATAAAAAAATAACAATAAAAATAACTTACTTCCTTTGGAATGTTATCCTTTCTTTTTTTATTTTGTAGTGTAACAGTTTTTGATAAAGCTGATATAGATGATATTGATGCAAATGATAAAGCTAA